TTTGAGGAACATATATTTTCTGTAGAGAAACCTTTTCTTATTGTTAGTTCTCTTGCATATCTGCATGTGTTTATTTTTCGTAGAGAATTTTTGCATGTGATATTTTTGTAGTTTTCTTGATACCACAGCTGTTAAATTTAACTGAAGCTTGTTGAAGTCAATGCTCATACTTGGGTAGATTGATGTTCTGCTTTGGCTTCATTTCTGTGAATATTTTATCTCTGGAAAAATCGTGATAAGTGGACAAAAAGAATGATAGTGAGAATTTATGCTGACCTACTTATTTAGAGACCCATTTTGCCTTAAAGAAACATACATTAGAATTCTTAAATTATATTGAATTCTTCTGTCTTTATCGAATGATAAAATTGTGCCCCAGATTCCTCTTCTAGAATTCAAAATATAAAATGATCATTAGATCTTCATTGGTCTCAACCTTCCAAGTCCAAAACCAGAAGGTATTATGAGTTGACATTACTACTGCCATTATTGTTGCCACCATAATTACTGTTGTTGCTTCTTAGATGCCCATGTCACTGAAATAGGGCTTCTAACCCTGGAAAGACCTTTGTCAAAGTGCACCCATATCAAATGCCCTTGAGTAGAGCTCATATTTTTGTTGTTATTTTCTTCCTTGAAATAATCCAAACTCTGTAACCCAACTGCTGGTTCGTATATTTGAATATTAGTCTTTGCGGTTTAACTCTTACTTTGACTCCTTCAGGTTCCACTACTTCGACCGAGTAAATGGAATTAGGACTCGCTACATTTGTCAATTGCCTTTTGATCACCTTACTCATCTTCCTGGACGTGAACATCACTGAAATCGAGGGATAATTGATGCTAAAACCCCTGTTCTCCAGCAAAGTCTCATGGCAACTCACATTTCTGTGAGTAATTGTGAAAATTTCTGATTTTGTGTATCCCAGGGTGCACAGATGAGTGAAATACTTATCTGGCCTGATATCATATACCAGTCCTAGATTGATGGCTCTTTTGGGGTTTACATGTCCAGCTCCAGTCGCGAAAACTCCTGTAGGTTTGTCTTCATCCATTATTGTCCTTCCTGAATGGTCTGTGATTTTCGCTGTTGTCATGATTGCAGATTTAATAGCTGCTGGGGTCTATGTTGGATGAGCTAAGTGAATCAGAGCAGTAATTCCACCGACATGTGGACAAGCCATGGAAGTCCCTGACATGACGGTGAAGTTCACTCTTCTAGAATCTTCTGGAAGAGCGATGGGGCCCAAGTTTTGAGGCCAGGCAGCGATGATGTTCACTCCAGGAGCAAGATTGGATTTGAGGAACATATATCTCAATGATGAGTTTTTTGTACATCTCTTATTTCATATAGGAATGATGTTCACTCCAGAATCCCTATATTTAACATTTTAAACTGATTTTTGGTATCTGAAATCCATACCCACTAAAAAAAATTATCATTTCATGAAAAGAAATTGGCTTCATAAATAAATACAAATAAGAAAAGATGAATTTGATGACTTGGGAGTGAACATAGCAAAAATTCGTGTTGTTAGTGGGTGACTCCATTGAAGGGGGTGTGCTTTTTTGTGAGTGGATTTTGAAATTGACTCAAAGCTAGTGTACCTCTTTATTCGTTTCAGCTAACTTTAATATGTAGAAAGCACTTTGATTTCTTCATCTCTGAATCTGTTCTTCTCACTGTTTCGTCAGAACTTGGTCGTTGATTTTCCCATCTTATGTGTGTTCACAGTCAATAAATATGCAGTGGATTTATTCTGTCTTCTCTTACGTTGAGTTCCCACAAGGATAATGCAGTTGCAGATAACAGTACTGATCATGTGGCTTGGTAGGTTGTTAAAACAACATCAGATAATTACCTAAATGTGGACTCAAGTATGCTTTTGAGCTCCAAATGTTGTGAAATTTTAATGTTTTAGGCATATGATGAATTGAAAAGCTATCCCCAATAAATGACTGGATGGTCAACATACTTAAATTTTATGATAAAATCGTTAAAGCCTGCTAGTTACTCTTGTCATTTATGCTGTAGATTTTGTTTCTCTGTAACAGAATAAGCAGCTAAGGAGATTCAAAATTTGCTTTAAAATTGTTAAGAGAGAGAGAGAGAGAGAGAGAGAGAGAGAACTTGAAACTACATGGGTTTCAGATGTTGTTATACTGCTCCAAATTTTTGTTCTTGCCCTGTATCCTTAGTTATGGAATTAGAATCTGTCCTTTCCCCCGAGTTAATTTCAATTCAATTGAATTTTTGGATATTCTTATTTTGGTTTATAAATGTTCTTTTATTATGGCTTAGAAACAACTATTAAGCAAATTGAAGAAGCATTCAAGGCGTTTACAACAAGAGAAGACGTTGCAATAGTGATGATCAGCCAATATGTAAGTTTTTGTTCTACTCTGTCATATTTTTGATTGATTTTAATGCTCTTATGTGGTATGACTTATGCATATGATTATAGTGCATGCTTATACCCTATCAGATGTATCATGAGCACCCTAAGATGCTTCTTTTTTCTTTTTCTTCTTCATTTAAATTCTATCATGTGAATGAGAAAAAATATTAAAAGTTTATGATGAATAAGTATGGGTCGTGTCACAGATTTAGCATGTTACATTAATGTTTTAGTCAATGGGACTTCATACTTTGGTGCTGAATTTACTAATGCTTCCTAAACTTCAAGTTAAACCTTTATTGCAACATTCATATAAATCACAAAGTCCCACAATTATTATAGTCCGGTAGTAAGAGATGAACGAGTACATTGATTTTGTGGTGGTGTGATTTTTCATTTGTCATTTGATTCTGTGGATAAAACATTGTCTAATGCAACAATGTTCATCTTCAGGTTGCAAACATGATAAAGTTTTTAGTAGATAGCTACAACAATCCAATTCCAGCAATTTTGGAGATTCCTTCCAAGGACCATCCTTACGATCCAACACATGATTCTGTTCTTTCAAGAGTGAAGTACTTCTTCTCCATTTCTTATGGTACCTTATTGAATAAATGTATCTAAATATGCTATTGTAAACCAAATGCTCATAAGATCAAAAAACAAGGGAAAAAAAAATTGTCATGTTTCGAGCGTAATTACTTGCAAAATTCATGGAATGGGTGTAGTCCATAATACATGCAACAAAATGTCAGTTAGCCTTTTTCTTTCTTTTTGGGAAGTTAGTGCAATGTTTACAATGCTGCTCTCCTTGGGAACAGATAAGCCTCTAAGGCTTTGCTAGGGATTTAAGCAGAGTAGTTGCACAAAACTCCAGCGGTTGGTATATTTTTTAACCCTAGCCATGTGGAGATTAAAAAACTTGAAATTACATTTCCATTAATTCCATTATAAAAATATAAATAGCCAAAGTTCACTAACCACCATGGTTGTTTCAGGACATTAAGGGTTTGCAACTTTGAAGCCATGAGAACTGAGGTTCGTCTATCTTGGAATAAAATTTTGGCAGTAGAGGTTGACTGTATTATTCTTAAATGTATTTGTAATGTCAATCTAGTTGGCTTATTAATAGCTATAGAGGTCTATGTGGAGAAGTAATTGAATTGATGCTACTTGCTCCTACCATTAACATAGCTAAGTTCCTATACTCAAGAATCCTAGTTTGAGGGAAAGAAAACAGAAAACCAAAGCAAAAAATGAATTTGCATTTGATAATGAAAACCATCATGCTTGATAGAAACCATAGTTGATTTTTTATCACCTCCAAAATGTCAATGTTGGTGAATGTGATCATCTAGGTGAAGTATGGTAGATCTAAGACCTTATGAAAGCTACAAGAAAAACTAAAGTTTGTTGGCCTAGTGTAGAATTGCAACAATTTCAGTACTAAATGCAGGTATATTCTTCAGTTACTAAGAAAAGTGATAGGGTCATACCTACTTATGATCACACTGCAATTCTAGCTCTTCTTCCTCCACGAACCCATCAGTTCCAAGAAAATTGTTCTTGATCACATGCAACTGAGTAACAGCATGATTAATGGCTGGTCGATCTCTTGGTAGTTCCTGTAAACAAGCGATTCCAATATTAAGTATTGAGATCAAGCACTCATATTTTTTTGATTGCTAGCAGAGCTCTGATTCCGAGTATTGTTGGTGCTTGAGCTTGCCTCCCAAATTTCTCTTCGTTGAAATAGTGTTGGATCAACAATGCTTTTTACTTGTTCAGGTAATGCCATCTTAACAAAGTTATGGAGACTCAGATTATTAAACATGTTATCAGTAGGTCTCTTTCCTATAATCATCTCCAATGTCGTCACCTCATTTCCCGTACCATACTCTATAATTCATGTATAATACAAAGTAAATACAATTGTAAAGATGCTTGGTCAGAATCATATAAACAAATAGTAATGTACCTTCTATAAATAATTCTTTGTAGAAAACAAGTTTAGAGAATGACAAACTTTACTGTTTAAAGTATGATGGGAAACAACAGGCACAATATCTTGCCTCCTATTAGCTTATTGAAGTCAATAAACAGTCGCTTGAGCAGAGACAGAGAACCAAGCTCCACAGGAATTTTTCCGGCCAGCCTATTGCGATAACATTCATGAGCAACAAGGTTAGAGCAAGCAGATATATCGGTGGGAATTTCACCAGTGATTGAATTATTGCCTAGTTTCAATATTCGCAGTCTTCGTAGATGGCCAATCCGTCACCCTCTTGTGGTGACAGCCACATGGTACGCCAGCCCATTGACAGAAGTGGACAAATTCATTCCACAAATTCAGAGCTCCAAATGGATCACCGGTTATTTGAGCCTTGAATGCGAGCAATGCTAGCCAATCCGTCTCATTCCCGGCTACATGAACACGAGGAGTAGTAGAGCCTGAACCATCCAAACACACCATGAGAACAAAGACAACAACATGCACGAACTGAAACAGAGTCCATGACATTGTTGAAACTAATATTTAACTCATATGGGGAAATAGTGTTGTCTTCAATGTTCTAAATCACCTTTCTTTCTTTTTTCTTTTTCTTTTTTCGTTCTGTTAGGCTTAAAGGTTTCTCGATAAATCCCATCTCTCACTGCATTTATTCAAGAACCCAACAATGAAGTCAGTCAGTCAGTCAGTCAGTCAGTCTTGCAGAAAAAAAGTCATGATCATGATCAAGATCACCCACTTGCCATCAATCTATAATTTAAATTAATTCTAGAACTCACACTACCGATTCAATCTCCACCCCACGATCTAAATCTTTTTTCTTTTACTTTTCAAATTCCTATCCAAATCCATCCAAACATAGCCTTAAACTTTTTTATTAAATTTAAAATCAAATGAAATTTCATTTTACTCTCTAAACTATCATTTAAAAATTAATTTAATCCAAGTTTTTATAATAATAATTTTATACTTAAACTATTCGATTTTATATTAATTTCACCCTCACCGTTAGCTACCGTGTATAATCAAATGGAAGTTGCTAATATGACACCAAAATTTAATTTAAAATTTCATTTTACCCTTCGAACTGTCCAAAAAAATATCAATTTGTCCGATTAATCTATTTTTTTTAATGAATAATTTACTTGAAGAATATTACAATTTAAACAATTTGAATCATCAAAAGAATCTCGAGAAAAGCCCACACAAGACCGCACAACAAATTATTGTGCCTAGTGAGTACAACAACCACCTCTCTTCAGTTTCAACAACCACCTCTCATATCGAATAAAAGACCCTAAATGTATTGAATCATTATAACTAAAGCCCCCAAATCCACTATTGCCCATTCATGGTCATCCCACCCAACCCACTTAATTTGGGATTTTTATAGAAGTTTACATAATTTGTATAGGAACATGAAAATTTTATGGAATTTGTATTTAAAATGACAGGATTATAGTGTGATTTATCATTTTAAATTAAAAATCTCTATTAAAATAACATTCAGTTATACAAAAAATTGTCACTGCTATATCACTTTGTTAAAGAATTCTATATAAATAGTATTTTCGTATAAGTTGACATCAGTCAATAAATTTTAGTTAGATTGGATGCCTTATCTCATTATAATCCAAAGAAAAAAAAGACGGCAACAGGTTGCCATAAGTCCATAAACAATGGCTCTTCAGGTGTCAATTGTTAAAAACCCTATTATATATTGTTTACCATGGTGGAGCAGTTGAGTTTAGTGGTATTTTTGTTATTTATTTTTGGTGCGGGGCTTTTTTCCAAAATTTAAATTAAATTAATTGCACTTTCTATTTTTGTAATTTAATTTAAATTTTACTTTAATTCCTATAACCATAAATTAAACAATTCGATCCTTATATTTTAAGTCAAGTTTTTAGTTCATCCTTCCAAATTTGAGATTAAACTTAATTATTTTGAGACACTTGTCAATTTTTTTAAGTGACATGTTGAAAAAATTAACGAAAATTTAGATAAAATGACCAAATTAAAACAAAATTTAAAGTGTAGGAACCAAGTTTTTTTTTTCTTTTTTTAATCTAATTTGAATATTAATTAGGTTTAGGAATAAATTGAAAAAAACTTGAAATATGAAAGACCAAAGTGAAGAAAAAAAACTTCAAGGGCCAAAGTAAAAAAATGACCAAATATAAAGGGGCAAAGTATAATTTACTCATTTATTTATGAAATAAAATTATTTTTAATAGTTTAAATTAAATAAATTTGTATAAACAAAAACATAAGTAAAAAGCTCATCAATTATCTAATTGAGTTTAGACAGTATTCTTCACATTTCTCTAATTATTACAAGAAAACATAATACATACAAACCATATCTTAGTTTATATCACACCACATACATATAGACTATAAGAAGTTTTATAGTTACGTCTTGTTTAGACCATTGCAAGTCATATCCGTAACTATGGAACTTGTTTTTAGAGTAAATGACAGAATAGCCATTACAAGTCGTAGCCTTCTTAAAAAGTACATTTAAATGAGAAAGGTTGAATGTCTGCTTGAGACTAACATAAAATCATAAAAAAATAAATAAATTAAAGAAAAGAAATTAAAGGATAGGATCATATATGTTACACACGGCCAAATCAATAATTTGCAGCATCACATAGTTGTGGAGTGAACAAATATCTTCAAATCCAATTAGACCTCAAGATCGGCCAGAATATATAATCTAATCCCATTCTCTTATATCTCCGAACAAACACAACAAACACTACAAGTTCTACAGCAACAACTTGTTTGGAACCATTGCAAGTCATATGAACCTATCTTAGAGTATAAAACATGATAGATAGCCATTGCAAGCCATAGCCTTCCTGAAGTACATTTAGATGAGAAAAATGCATGCTTGAGACAAACTAAAAACATAAAAGAAGGGAGGGAAAAAACAAAAAGAAATTAAAGCATAGGATAATATAACATAGTTGCTGAGTTGACAACGATCTTGAATTCCAATCAGACCTCAAGTGCCTAGGAGAAGAGAAGAATGACTAAGTAAAACTTCAAATAGTATGATGAGAAATGATAAACAATTAAAATAAGATACAAAAAAGAAGTTGAAGCAACTTGAAAATCAATTTTTTTTGGTACCTTATTGAAAAAAGGTATACAAATATGTTGTTGTAAACCAATTACTCACAAGATCATAAAAGGAAAAAGAAAAAAACATCGGAGTAAAGAACAACACTTGCCCTTATCTAGTGTCACGTTTCGAGCTTAATTGAATGCAAAATTCATGGAATGAGTGTAACCCATAATACATGCAACAAAATGTCAGTTTGCCTTTTCATGTCTTTCTTCTTCGGTAACTAGTGCAATCTAAACAACGCTACCCTCCTTAGGATTAGATAAGCCTATAAGGCTTTACAAGGGATTAAGACAGAGTAGTTTCACAATACTCCATTAGTTGGTATATTTTTCAACCCTAGCCATATGCAGATTAAAAAACTTGGAGTTACATTTCCATCAATTCCATTTTATGTATAGCCAAAGTATAGCGACCCTGGTCTTTTCCCATTCGGTTGTTGTATCCGGACTTATGTTCCGTAGACCCCGTTGTTATATAATTGTTGTTGTTGTCCTTTAATTTCTCATTTTTGAGTTATAGGATATGTTGGGCAGGTTTGAAACAGGTTGGTTGTGTTTGGAAACCAAGGGTTGATGTCCATTTAATTCCAACTAGTGTCTATTAAATTTTCATAATGGTTCATTCAATTCCAATTAGTGATCCATTCATATTCCATTAGTGGGATTTTATGACAAACTTGTCCATTCATATTTCTAGCTAGTGTTCATTTAATGCTAGTTAGTGTTCATTTAATTTCAATTAGTGTTCATTTAATTTTAACTTGTCTTTTCATTTTCCAATTAATGGGCTTTAATAACAACCTTTCAATATCACTTTTTCATCTCCCTTTTGATTTCAAAACCCTAGAACCATCTTCTCTCTCTCCCTACACACCTTCTATCTAGGTTTTCATCTCCCTCTAGTGTAAATCTATACTAAGTCTTTTGTAAGAAAGGTAGAGTGGGTTGAGGGCTTCATTTTAATCTGAAAGTTTGGCGATTTGGAGCACTTTGGTTTTTGGCCTTCATCTTCTCCATTCATCAGTTTTGTATAAAAAAAGATGGTGTTATAGTTAATAGTTGACAAAAAACTAATCCGATCAGATAGCTATCGATATCCGATTAACGTGATTTTTTATAAACATATAATACTCAACGAGTTTTATACATTGAATGGTTCCGATTAACAAAATGGGACCCGTGGTAGGCCCTCACGGGCCGAACAATACCATCCAATTCAATGCCTGAAAAGGAGGTAAGTTTCTCCTATACACAACTCCACCCAAGCTTCTCCTATACATTAATTTATATAATTTTTTAATATATATTTTTTCGTAAAATATCAAAAAATTATCCCAAACAACCATCTTTTTTTCCTCAACTTTTTAGTCGAAAAAATAAAAAAGAATAATCATCTTCAAAACAAAGAAATACTAAGGTAAAAGTAACCCTACCTCAATCAAAAGCAATAAAGATAGACTTCAATGAGAATCCGTTCAAGAAATTGAAATCCAATCGGTAGAAATGTAGATCCCTATGTGTACTCCACTTCTTGTAAATGATTTAGGCTTAGCTCTTAGAGACATATGAGATATTTGGGCTAAGAAATCTAGGGTTTTCAGAAGGTAAAAGAAAATAAAAGAAGAGAGAAAGAAAAAGATGAAGAAATGATCTAAAATGTGCCTTTTTAAAATGCTGATTTCGCGCAGACTACTTGAGTGGTCTTTTCATTGCTCAAGCGGTAAACAAGATCTCTTAGTAATTTTGTCTGCAAAACGAGATACTGAGAGATCTTCAAATTCACTCGAGAGACCAATAGTTCGCTCAAGCTGTCCATTCCCACTTCCAAAACTACTAGGTGCTCTCCATCTCTGCTCGAGTGATATTTTCACCACTCAAGCGGTCACTTGGGACAAAATGTCACATTGTTTCCACATAGAGTGAGCTAAAGCTTAGTAGAAATGAGTTTAATGATTTGTATAATGCTTACCAAAGCCATATGGTGAATGCACATGAATGCCATTGCCAAAACATGTGTTTTTCTCTTTCAAACAATTCAATACCATGTTTATATCACATTTAAATAATTGTTGCTTCCAAAATAGAAAATAGGGCGTCTACATCTATGCTATACAAGCACTACCAAAAGGCATTTTACTAGTATTAATCAAAAGAACCGGTATCTAACCGCACATGTTTCTAGACTTTCACTAAGGACACAAATACCAACATAAATAACCACAACCACACCCCCTAACCAGATTCACCACGTTATTCACCAATTTTTCTCAAAACGATATTTTTCAATGCAATAAGTGTAAAACAAAAATGGGGGAAGAGTAATGGGCTTGGTGAAATTGTTTTTTTTCTAAAACTGTTATAGTCATGAAAGTTTGGAAAAATGGGTAATAAAAAGAAAGAAAAAAAAAGGTGAACCGCTTATAGCGTCGAATGAAATGGCTATTTTTGAGAAAAGTTCATACTTATGAATATTTTGTATAAACTGCCACATTACTATTCTAGTATGAGATTGAACATTCATGATCATAGCTATCTGTAAGTTGTTATTGTTGAGGATCATGTTGAGATCTCTACTGGACTATATGTTCATCCCACGTTGTTGAATCTTTTTCAGGTGATAGCCAGGATGTTCTACAAGGTTGGATCTTCTTATTTGTTGGCCACGGGGCCTCTTTTGTGTTGGCGGAATGCCATTTATGTAAAAGGGTTATACCCTTCTTCTTGACTTTTAATGATGTAAGCCCAAGGGCAATTTATTTAGTGTTCTCATGTTGTATTTACTTGCATACGAATGAGAGCAATGTTATTCACTTCTACAAGTTGAATATACGAGTTTATTTCCACATGTTATCTCTGAAATGGAATTAAGTAAATGAAATTGGTAATACTTCGAGTAATAAAAAGTGGGGCGTGACACAAAGTGCACTAACCACCATAGTTGTGTCGAGACATTCAAATGCTTCCAGTTTCCAACCAATTTTTTTTCCAGATTAAGTTGGAGGGGATTATAGGGGAAAGAACTTCGCAACTCTGAAGTTATGAGAGCTAAGGTTCCAGTATCGTGGAATAAGATTTTGGAAATAGAGGTTGATTAATATTGATTGATTTTTGCTTATGTATTATTCTTAGTCATATTTGTAATATGAATCTAGTTGAATTATTTGCTCAAGTTTTCAAAAGAACCATAGTTTTGACGGAAAGAAAATGAAAAACCAAAGAAAAAAAGAATTTCCATTCGGTAATGAAACCATCTTGACAGGAACCATAACTGATTTTTTGTCACCTTCAAAATGTTAATGTTTAAGAATGTGGTCATTTGGATGAAGTATAGCATATCTAAGGTGTTATGATTTATGTGCCACAAGACAAACTAAAGTTTGTCGGCCTAGTGTAGAATTGCGACAGTTTCAATAATAAATGCAGGTATATTCTTCAGTTACTAAGAAAGTGATAGGGTCATACCCTACTCATGATCACACTGTAATTCTAGCTCTTCTTCCTCCATGAACTCCATTAGTTCCAAGAAAGTTGTTCTTGATCACAAGCAATTGAGTAACTACATGATTAATGGTTGGTCTATCTCTTGGTAGCTCTTGTGAACATGTAATTCCAATAGTAAGTATTGAAATCAAGCACTCATAAATTTTATGACTGCCAGTAGAGCTCTGATTTTGAGTATTTTCGATGCTTGAGCTTCCCTCCCCTATTTCTTTTTGTTGAATTAGTGTTGGATCAACAACACTTGCTACTAACACTTTTGGCAACAAAAAAATTGGTCCCTAAAAGTCTATTTTTGGTCGGCAAAAGTTATCCGCGACCAATTTTTTTGGTCGCTACTTTGGTCGCCAATTGAAGGTCGGCAAAAGTAATTCACGACCAAAATTTTGGTTGGTCGGCAAAAGTTGGATTTGCCGACTAAATTTTTGGTCACTAAATGTTTAATTACCGCGACTAATTCATTTTGTCGCTAAAACACTTTGGTCGCGAAAAGTGATATTTTCCCGACCAAATATCTTAGTCGCCAATTGACACATTTCGCTTTTTGGTCGCCAATTATCACATTCAACGACCAAAAAGTTTGGTTGCCAATTGTGACATTCCACGACCAAAAAATTTGGTTGCCATTTGTTACTTTTCGCGACCAAAACTTTTGGTCGGCAAAAGTGAGTTTCCACGACCAAGAGCTGTTTTGGTCGGCAATAGATGTATTTTTTGCGACCAAAACTCTTGGTCGACAATTGTCAATTTTTGCGAAAAAAAATTATTTATTTGTCGCGACTAATAAATTGGTCGCCAAAGCAGGAAAACAATACACCTATAATTCCTAATAATTCATTCAATCCATAAAAAACCTATAATTTTAAAGCATCATTCAAATTAACTGAATCATTAACATTCGACACAATACATAATTCATTAACATTCGACACAATACAACTATTCTAAGTTTTCATTCACAAGTGACATCCATCTAGCATAACAATTTGAAACATAGCTATTTGTTATCCATGCGCAGCTATCAACAAATAAAACTACTAATATTTGTTATCCATACACATCCATCCAAGAACATTTAATCCTCCCAAAAATGCTTATACTGCCAAGTAGTCATGTACAATTTAGCTTCGTGAACTTGTTAAGAAATATGTTGGGGAGGGTGCTCGTCTGGTTCGTGAACAGACATGATTGATTCTGGCCTTGAACCCTTTGTTGAAGTTACTCTCTACCCAAACCATGAAAAAAAATCAGTATCTTTATTATTGTTCAAAAAGAAAATAACTTAAACAGAGTAAGAACATACCGAAGAAACAGCCCTATTTCCAGCCCGTCGGTCACCATGACCATTAGAGCTAGATTTCCCAACTTTTGATCCACTTTTCAATGATGGCCACATCGATATTGTTTTAGCCACTTCAAATGTTTCTGGGAACAAAGAAAAATTATGTCACTATGAAACAGCACTATCGAACAAAGATAATAAAACCTCAACAAACTTCACTACAACATACCTTGAAAAGCCCCAGAGTGCTTCAGTCGTTCAAGAACAACAGCTAAGGCAAGTCCTTGAATATCTTTCAAATTCTTGGTCACCTAGTCATGTAACAAGACAATAAACTCAGGAGTTCTGCTAGATTTTGACAAAAACCAAAGAAGGCACCAAAAATTTTTGTCAAAAAGAAAGAGAAAGAGAAATAGTCACAGTTAAAACTAATGACATCAAGTGCTTGATGAGTTTTGGTCTTGCATTCTGGTTACTTTTTATTTATTTATGACAAGTTGAAGTTAGCAAAAAAGTGAATACCTGCCAATATGCATTTAGACATTTTATTTAGAGACACGGTACACTTTCTTCCCAAAACAACAAACTTAGAGAACCAAAAACCATTCTCTGACTTCTTCCCTTATTTTCTCTTTGTTATTAAACCAAATATATATATACATATATGTAAATTACATTGGCCTACCCTTAGTGATTGATGCAGACAAAGCTAGAGCAGCATGCAGGTTACATGACGATGTGGCTCCAAATTGATAAAACTTTTGGTACTTAGTGATGGAGTTATTTCTTTTAGTTATTATGATAATATCATGTCTCTCTCTCCCTCTCTTGTCAATGCAACTTATCCAGGTAGTTCATGTGGGAATTTATTTCCTCTAACAACCCTCCATGCATGCTATAGTTGCTCCAGGCTCAATTTAGAGCTATTCTCTTCCAATCAGTTGTCACAATTATGGTTGGTGCCTAATTGAATTAAATGCGTAATGATAACATCTTAATAACATCTTACACCTAATCTGGTGGCTCACCTTCTCCAAGTAACTGGTAATAGATTATAGGCCCAAAACATGACACTAGTATGACTGTTGGTGTTAGTAATGGGCGCCCATGTGGCATGACCATTTGAATTTGAATTTTGAACCTCATCCAAATGGGTTTTGAATTTGAATTCAAACCTATTTGGATAGCCACTCAGGATATATATCTATCATATCATGATATGGATAGATGATATAGATATCAGATATTATCTCATTTAACAAATGGATAAATGAGATAAATAGATTATATATCTGATATATGGGATATGGGTGATTAAGTGGAAAAAACAACGTATGTTTTTTTTTTCTTTCAAAGATACTGACTCTCTCCCAAAATAACGATCAAAGCCATTTGCACTGTGATTTGTGTGGGTGATATTCAACCTGTGATATCACTTCACTGCTGGGTTGGTTTATCAGACTCTGGAAGCACGTGATTTATCCACGAGGTTCTATCATCAAAAAGGTATGATCTAAACATTTTATCCGCTGCATATTTTGTGTTTTGATTTACAGTTGGGCTATGGTATTTCAGGGTTTTGTAGCTCAAGGCAAATTTGACTTGCCTGTTCTGTTTTGGTGCTTGAAGGGATGCTCTGATATCTGATCTGTTTTGATCTGTTATGTTGCTGTGTTGGTTTTAACAATCTTGGGGATTGGTTTGGATGAAGGGCTGCTACAGGTCAAGGCATTGTGTTTGGTTTGACTGTTGGGCTGTTGTAATTCAGGGCAATGTAGCTCAAGGAAAATCTGATTTGCCTGTTCTGTTTGGTGCCTGTAGGAGTGCTATTTTGCCTGCTGTTTTTTGCTTTTTTTTTCTTGCTTTTTCTGGTTTTTTTTGCTCTGTTTGTTTTGCTCGTTGGTTTCTCACCAACTAGGAGGTTGGAGATTGACTTAGCTCCAAGCTCCTCTTTATTGATGTATTTGTTCATATAATTCATCAATAAAGTCTTCTTTTTGTCGATCAAAAAAAAAAAAAAAAAAGGTGGCTCACCTTCTCCAAGTAACTGGTAATAGATTATAGGACCAAAACATGACACTAATAGGCCCAAGTGAGACAATGATAGGCTGTCAAAAACATAGAAGAGATGGGAGAGGAAGTTGACATAGAGTTTTATTCTTAATAATCTCTCAGGTCTCAGCCAATAATCCTTTGTGAATTTACAAAGGTATATTCTTGACACTGCAGAAATATCTGAACTAGAATTAATTTATAATTGGACTCTACCCTCATTAACATGTACACACTTTTTCAAGAGAACATGTGATAAAGCATATGTCAAAAGAAAAACAAGACAATTTACAAAAGTTTCATAGTCCATACCTGCAAGGCATTTTCATGAAATTCATTGTGCACCTGCCTCAGATGTGATCTTGGCAACTGGGGAAAATAAAAAGCATAAATCACTTGCATACCAAACAGGAAAAAGGACCTCAAATACTAGAAGAAAGCTGGCAGTATAAGAGTGTTTGCAACCTCATCACTACCCTTTTGTGACAACATTACCAGTCACAAAAAAAAATTAGCACAGAGGTTGAAAACATGAAAGTTAATAATGGTGTTTCTGTTGCCCCAAGGAGAATGCATCAATTTTATAAAGTTAATAATCACTTATTGAATAAAACTTTCAGCTTCCACTTTCATCGTTCATGAGATATAAGACTTTACAAATTTTGAAAACTAGGAGTGACAGAAGTCTAGTAAGGCTAAAGGGTTGCTTTGCCTGGAAGAGAGTTACAAAACCATTACCAAAATGAAAAAAACTAATGAATGATAGGTAATCCAAATTAAACAGATGTACAAAAATAGTTACCTTGGCATTATAAGCAGCAGCCTTCACTCCACACTTGCAAAGAAACTTTGATATGCTTAATGTTTCTTTTCTGGTAGGTACATATATAATTGTTGATCCTTCTAAATGACCTTGCTGAAGTTTTAATCCTTCTTCCCGTTTGTTAGGCGGATCATTTATCTCACGTAACCCACAAATATCCGAGTCCTTATCAGGCGATTGACCAAAGAATTCACCACAGGAAACTGCAATGAATAGATTCTAAGTGAATGCTCATGTAAGAGAAAAAGAATTATAGGAACACATTCTTCAGTCCGGGGAAGAGAAGAGAATAATTTTTCAAAGATCCCCACTTTACCATGGATTGGACAATTAGAAGAGTAATAAGATAAATGATGTGACTAGAGTCACTAGAAGAAACATGTATAGATGGATGCACACATGCATATAAACATGTATATAAACATCACATTATGCTTCTTTTTATCAGGCCTTTTCTTTCTGGTATATATATCTACCAATTTACAAAAATCCTTCTCATAAGAAGATGAGGATGATGTTCTACTATGCTTTACCTGTACATATCAAAAAATGAATAGGAAAGATTACTGCAGGAATGAATAGATGGATGCACACATGCCCACACATGAGTCACCTTAGTTTCAGAAAATTTATAGATATTTATGTATAGAAATTCTGGAATTGAAATACCCAAGGTCTAGAGTCAAAATGCAGAAAAAATCATTAAGTGCTACTTTAAACTTCTTATTAATGCATAAAAATGCAATAAAAGAATAAAAACATACCACTATTCCAGAATCTGCCCATGACAAGAGACTTTCCACTATTCCAGACTTGGACACTGCAGGAGAAATATAGACATGAAAAAAATAAACTAGAGTTTTGGTGAAAATAAAACAGGGTTTCGAACACTTTTTCCCTCCCTTTAACATTTTCATTTACTGTAACCATATTACTCTTCTTTATTGTTGCATCTATAGGTCTTCGTTGAACATGATAAAACCATCTTAGTATGTTCTCACTTCACTTATCTTCAATTGGTTACCATTTCATGAATATATCCATTTCTAATCAAGGCATTGCTTCTATGAGAAATAAAGGCATTTCTAATCAAGGCATTTCTGAACAAAAATACTAGACATGAAAAAAGGCATTGCTTCTATGAGAAATATAGATATTGGAACTATTTTATTTTTCTGGTTATAGAACAGGGTTTTGGTGAAAATATTGAGGGCTATTCTTGCATGTAAGTTGTAACTGGCAATAGTAAGATTGCTATTTTTTTGGTAAGAGAGAAAAAGGAAGGAAAAAAAAAAGGATGGCAAGAATCTAGGAATCTTGACCATAATATTTTAGGAATCAAACCCTTGATGTTAGGCTACATCACAAATGACTCAAACTCAAACCCTATATGTTTGTACCCTTTTCTTCAATATTACAAGCAAAAATACATAATAATGGGCTGCTGGAGTTTTCCAATCATTAATACGATTAATACTAATAATGGGAAGCTGAATGACTATTGGAAATCTCTCTACACTAATATGAAAAAATCTAATGACTCAACAACCTAACTTCACCTACATTGAATTCTATGAACCAATTCTACAGCACATGCACAGCAAATCCAAGAGTTATCAAAATGCTCGACTTCAACAAGTTTCAAATTTATTAGACAAGGTCCATGAGCTCTATATGAAATTCATAGTTTGGCCTTCTCTTCTTAGCAGAAAGTTGATAAATAGGACTCACATGAAGATGATTTGTGAATAAATATAGCTTGGTTTCTGGTCTTATTATGAGTTTATTTCCTTAATGTTGTTGCTTTTCATGTTTATAAGAGATTTTAACTTAAAAATTCACAAGTGATTTATTGGCCACCACGTTTTCCAAAAAATTCTACCGAGAGTTAATCTACAATTGTGTGAGAGGTCTTGATTGTCTTGAATTTGACTGAGGTGGCTTTATGTACTATAGATTACAAAAACCTGATCCATATACCCACAATAGTATGTTGGATTGAAGCTTATTGAGAAAGCAAACATATAATTCTATTTAACATAGCATTTAAGAAAGCAAACCTACAAATACACAACTATACGTTGTGTGCCAGGGTCTAGATTTTGGGAAGATTGTAGTGTCTGGCACCATAATTCATTCCAAAATGCAATACTTCATCTATTTATTTGTTAATAATGGACCAAAAAAAGTTAAACTGTAAGGACTGGATCCCTTTTTGATGAATAGATTACAAATTTGCCGGCCTTTTCTTCTTCAATGCGATAATCTCCAATATATGAAGTGACACTAGGTCTAAAACATTGGTTCTGCACTACCTGCCAAAACCTCACAACGCTCATGCTGCTCTTGTGGTGGAATCAAAATGCCAACATAATGAATCTCAAAAGTAGCTTAAATAAATGTTAGTTATCAAGAAACTACGATGGCATGAAGTAAAAAACAGTTTATGAATGTATTAAGAAAGATAGATCTTTCTTTCTTTCTTTCTTTTTAGAAGTATGATCTCAACAAAGATGAGGCACAAAGGGGGGTGCAACCCATATACCAAATAAAAAAAACATGAGCTCTACCCACTATACCTCAAAATGTACTTGAAAGTCCCTGTAAAATCCAAAAATTAGTTCAAGGGCGGGTTAGCCAACCTTGAGAACCAACTATATAAAAAAGAATACAATTTTTCCTGAATACTCAATATTTATTCTTCTTTACCAACAAAAGTTTTTTGGTTGGTTCCTTTCACCCCAAACCAACCACATCAACGTCGACAGGATCAAATTCCATGACTTCCTTTTCCCCTTCCCTACCCAAAAGAGACAAAGATCGTAAATTAGATATTCAATGCGGTTTTCTTTCTTTCTTTCCTCCAAACATTTTAACATAGACCAAAAAACAAACACCTTATAGGCATGCCAAACACTAAGGACAGACCATATGACTACTATCATTGATACATACAAACACTCTATTGCGTGTTTGTATATATATATAGATGTAGAGTTCATCAATGCCTGGTAAGGAGAGGCCAAACACACAAGCACACACTACATATGTTCCTAGTAAGGATAGAGCAAACACACAAGCACACACACACACACTATATATATATATATAGAGAGAGAGAGAGAATAAGAACACCATGCCACCAATACCAATAACGAAATTGAAATGTTTTTTGAAAAACGAGATGGTGAGGTTAGACAATGAAGGGGCAAAGATCTGAGAAGTTGAAAATTATAGTTAGGGTTTGAAATTGGGGAAACGAGAGAGAGAGAGAGAGAGAGAGAGAGAGCGTGTTTATCTGATGCAAGAGGTCTGAGATTGAGAGGATTAGCAATGGTAGAGTGTAGGCGGCTCGACACACTACCACCAAACATCCTTCCTCTCTCCGCCAAACCCATTGCTGCTCCGCCGCTACTCCTGTTTCGTTTCGTGTTAGCGCCTTCTTCGTGTTTGCTCTCTGCTTTGGCTAGTTCGCCGCCGACCTCACAGTGGGGAAACAAAGCGACACGACCATGGTGTGAGACATTTTTGGTGGTGGTGATTTTGAATGGTGGCCTAGGGTTTGTGTTTATGTGAATGTCAAAGCAAAAGAGAAATAGACAGAGATCAAAGAGAGAAACAGAGAATACATTGTGGGCAACGGTGAGAGAGAAGGAGAGGGAGAGCAAGCGAATTTTTTTATTATGTCTTCCACGTTTCAAATTTCCCTCCCAAATTTTTGGCGACCAAAAGAACATATTAGTCGCAGAAAAGGTACCTTCACTGACAAATTTTTTTAGTCGCCAAATCTCAATCAATGGCGACTAAAATATTAGTCGCTAAAAGTACTAATTTGGCGACTAGTTTTTTTTGGTTGCTGAAAATAAGTTTTTGGCGACCAAATTTTTGGTCACCAAAAAATATGTGACCTTCCGCGACCAAATTTGTAGTTGGTCGGCAAAAGTATACCACTTTCTGCGACCAACTCATTTTTTGGTCGCCAAAATATAACATTCTACGACCAATAATATTTGGTCGCCAAAAATAATGATCATCCGCGACTAATTAATATTTGGTCGCCAAATGTCATTTTTTTGCGACCAATATTTTTTTAGTCGGCAAAAGTGGTCGGCAATTGTGTAAATTCTTGTACTAATAACATGTTTAATGATAGTTTGAGTCTCCATACTCAAACTATCATTAAACATGTTATTAGTAGGTCTCTTGCCTGTAAACATTTCCAATAAGAGGATACCAACTGTATACATCACCAGATGTCGTCACCTCATTTCTCATACCATACTTTGCAATTGATGCATCATTCAAAGTAAATACAATTGTAAAGATGCTTGGTCAGAAGCATATCAAATAATAGTAATAGTAACGTACCTTCTACAGATAACTCTTTGTAGAAAATAAGTTTAGAGCATAAAAAACTTTACTGTTTAAAGTAATATAGGAATGAATTATGTCTTTTCTTGGTGAGATAACAATATTTGGTTTGTCTACTTGTGTCATGAGAAAGGCCCAACTTGAAACTAGTTTGATTGTTTCCCAGTGATATTTATGAAACCAAATAGTTGATGGTTCAATATCTTCTTAGGAAATAAGCAGTTGAAGCTTGGGTGATAGTTTAATTTTATCCAATTAGGTTTGTATTCATCAAACTTATTAACTTAAAAGAAATAGACAAGAGGATTGAAATTATAAAAAGAGGATTTTCTAATCTTCTCTTTGACTACACACATAGGAGATGTACAAAAGTTAGATATTGTACGTTGTTATGCTTTCACATTTTGTGCCAAGAAAAATACTAAGATTTCTCAATATTGGTACAGCTCCATTGAAGGCAAAAATAAACATAAACACAATTATATGGATTATGATTTGCAGACAACAAGATAGGAGATGTATGGAAAATCCTCTAAAAAATGGGATTGCATATTGGGTTGTATATTATAAGCAAGAAACTAATGAAATTAAGAACATGCATTCCTTTGAGTTTCATATTTTTTTAGACTAAATTATGTGCAACAGAAAAGAAAAAAAAAATACTTTTAAATAACACATTGGAAAGTATTTGCCAAATATTGATTTTCATGCATTTGAAGGGTAAATGATGTCGTGAGAAATAAAACCAGAGAACCATCTGCTTTACTTCATTGGTCAAAGGAGCATATTTGATGGATATGCAAATAAGACTCTCAAGTATGTTGGAAAGTGAAGGTGAAAAAGAATATCAGAAAAGGGCCTAAAAGATACATTTACCTGGTGCAGCATAACTGTCATGACCCAAACCCGCCCCTATGGGTTAGGTATCATAACCGGCCAGTAATCCGTGATTACCAAAGGCCTGCTTAACAGTAATGACAGTAATACAGAGTAAAGGGGTTGGCGGAAGCCAAAACAGTAAATAAAGATGTCCAATGAGCTGTGACATTCTGTATGCAAAAAGACTTTTCTGAACATATTCACATTCGTAGTCAAAACATATATACAACTCAGATACATAAAACATTCAGGTTAGGAACCAAATCTCAACATCGTAGCTATACAGTCAAGTTTTACACAAAACGGAGACAAACAAGGTGGAACTGAGACACCCCAAAGTAGCCATAGCTTGAACAGACTGGGAACCTCAAAGTGAGGCACAATGGTTGGCTTTGACAAAACAAGAGCTAATCCGACACTCTTAGCTCCGTTCCGGTGCCTGGACACCTACATATATATGTAAACAGTGAGCTAAAGCCCATTGAATAACAGCAGTGTAAAGAAGTTAAGAATGAATGTCCTTTCAGTAGTTAAACAGTCATATCAGTCATTTAGAAACCATAGCAGTCATATGTGGTACATCTAATAGAAAAACAGTACAGTAGGTCTTAACAGACCAAACAGTTAGTTGATGGCCATCATAACAGTAAACAGTAGTGGTTCCAAACATGGGAACCGACAGAAATCTCTGTGACAGTAGTAGTAACAGTGCAGTAACAATAAATTGCTATGGATGCAACGAATAAAGTTTACAAATTGGACAACATTCATTCATTAAACAATAACATTTCAGTAAGCGGAACAGTTGATCATACAGAAGATAATCATAATTGAACATATCTTTACAAGATTGTTACTCACAGAGCACTGGGTTACAGATAGGTTAACGAGCGTCATCGGATGCCAACCCTACAGTTGCAGAACGAACACACACTCGGGATTAATAACTTAGCCCCTAATTATACTTGGTGTGGTTCTATAACATTATCCTCATTAAGATGCCTTAAACTAGGCCTAGGAATGCCTAGGATGGAATGGGGATGCAAAAATGCACTTTAAAACACTTTTCAAATTTTTACTGAAACAGGGGTCTCGCTCGAGCGTGGCTTTCTACACTCGAGCGGACATGCAGACAAAGGATCCCCGCTCGAGCGTGACTTCTCTCGCTCGAGCGGACTGTAAAATTCAAGAAAAGTACTGGATGCATGCAATTTACGCTCGACTGACGCTCAATCTCTGCTCGAGCGTAAGACTCAGGTCCTTGCTCGAGCGTGAAGTCTTTCGCTCAAGCGGACTGCAAAACACAAGAACTTCTGGACATATGCATTTCACGCTCGAGCGTGACTTCCTACGCTCGAACGGAAGTACATGTACTCAGAGTGCTCGCTCGAGCGCGAAGTCCTACGCTCGAGCGTGGGTCCAAAATCTGGAATTTCCAGATTGAACCTCAAGCATGAAATTCAACTTTTAAAGCTTCAAATTCGATCCCCTTGGGCTAATTTTCTGGAAAACTCTTGGAAACTCATAGTATACCATATTTTTGAAGATCATTTGTAAAATCAAGCCCAAAAGGTAAGCCAATTGAACACAAAAATTAAGTGTAAGCACGAAGAACATTGCAAGATCATACATGCATGAGTTCTCATGAACTCTAGTGTTTCAAAACAAGATCAAATGCAATGTTGAGCTCAAAATCATGATGAATTCATGGACCATAACAAAAATATGAACTTGCATGTGGAAATTCTCATGAAACAACTCCAAAATTCAAGAATATGCACATGCATGCAAGGATTAACTCTCAATTCAACATTTTAAACCAATTCTTGACTTAGATCACTAATTTACCATGCACCATGCAAGAAACAATTTAACTACATAAACCAAAGGATGAATTCTCTACCTTAGGTCTTGAATTTCAAGGTATGGAAGCCCAATTTTGCAAGTCCTCTTCAATTCCTCCTAATTCTCCAAGTCAAATTCTTGATAAAACCAACTCTCCTCTCACCCTCTTCTCTCTCACGGTTGGGTCTCTAAGTGGATGAAGAAAAGATGCAACCAAGAATGGATTAAGCTCCAAACATGTATTAACAAGGTGGCCCACTAGCATGGCAAAAGTGTAATTAACTTTGATTCAATAATTAATCATTATTTAATCTAATTTAATCATTCCAAATCAAGTTCAAATTAAACCTACCATAAAATCACATAAATACCAATTAGTATATAACACTAATCAATTTCAGATTCGGTTGTTGATAAGGCCTTCAATTTGCAATTCGAAATTCAAAACATGAACAAATTAATTAATGACAAACAGATAGAAATGCAATTAAAGCAACATACACATGCAATCAGTTCAGAATCTCATTTTAATCAGTTACTTATCATGCTTAATCAGAGATTAGCACTAATCAGAGGTAAGGGTTGTCACAATAACCAACAGACCCTCTTAAGCTGATGGAACTTGATTAAGTTGCAGAAGAATTATCGGTGCCTTCTGGAAGGAATCTAGCTAACCCAAAATCGCCTACATGTCCAATCATTTCATCATTCAGAAGAACATTACTTGACTTCAAATCACAGTGAACTATTGGTTCCAAGCAATGATGGTGAAGATAATCAAGTGCAGAAGCAACATCAACGGCAATATTTAACCTTTGTAGGAGGTTTAAATTTCTTGATTTGACATGCACCTCATCTTCATTTTCATTTGTTTGTAACCAATCCTCTAGGCTACCATTGACCATGAACTCATAAATCAGAGCTTTGAAATCATTATCATTATAGTCAACACTTGAACATGCTGTGAAAACCTTGACAAGATTTCAATGTTTGATGCGCCTCAAGGCCTCACACTTAGCAACGAAACTCTTGGAAGCTCCACGGAATTGAAGGTTTAGTACTGTAATGACCTAGAAATTTTTTTTTTAAATAGCCAGTGCATAATTTAATTGAACAAATTTTCGAATTTAATTGCAGTGTAAATTCTGTGCGAAAACAGTTCAGTTTTGTTTTTTTTAAAAATAGTTTCCGATCTCATAAAATTATGAAATTGTTATATGTTGTTCCCATATGAATCTAGCATGTTGGATAAAAATTTCAGAATTAAATGATGATTATTTATTTTATGAAAATTTACGGACTGATTGGTGTTCAGTTTAATTTATAGCAGAATTTGAAATTGAGTTTTGGGTGTTCGGACCAAGATTTGAGATAGATTTGTTGGGTTTACTTTGGTTTATAATTGGGTCATGTTTGGCTTATGGGTGAAAATTTAATTCAAGACCCATGGCTTGGATTCAATTTAATTTGAATTTGTTCATGATTCATGTTTAATTATTTGGTCATTTTTAATTATGTGATTAATAGTCACCACCTTGAGAGTTGTTATTATTTATTATATAGGATTATAATTAATATTTGATAGTTGATTTTATGGTGTACCATATGGTGAAAAATCATATATTTTTATAATAAATGAAATGGGTGTATATTTCATAGTGAGCAAAATATTATATTTTGTGGTGTATAAAAATATTATATTTTGTGGCAAAAAAAATTATGTCATTTTATAATTTATATTATAAAATTTGAAAATATTATTATAAAAATTAATATTTTGAAAAACTCATGATTGGGAAAGCAAACCCACATGGGGTTGCTTCCCCCTCTTTCTTTCCCATCATTTCCTTTTCTTTCTTTCATTTTTTTGGCTGAGCAAAGGAGCCCAACACTCTCTCTCTCTCACCGTGTCTGTCTCTCTCCCTCTCTCTCTCTCTCTCTCTCTCTCTCTCTCTCTTTTTCCTCCATTGTTGATATAAGCTTTAAGCTTAGAGTGGGAGTCTTTAGAGTGAGATTTTGCAAAAAGTGTTGCAAATGAAAGTTGGAGAGCTCGTCGTGATCTTCGCAATGATGTTCTCAGATTCATGATCAGGCGACGTTTGCATTTTCAAATTTGTTTTTCTTCATATTTAAGGTAGGGACTTTATTCATATTTTTACATTAAAGCTATGTTAGGGTGATTTTGAGAAAACATACCATTATAAGAGGTATTGCATATAGATATATTTTCAGATTTTTGTTTAGTAATTTTTGGAAGAAAAATTATGTTAAAATGTTAAGAATGTTGGTATTTTGAGATTGATTTTGGGAAAATCATTTTGTGTTGTTAATTTTGTAAAAAGAAATCCGAAAATAGAATTTAATAGTTGTATGGATTGTATTTACATCATATTATGATTAGATGACTTATTTTGAGAAATATAAAGTTGAATTTTTTTTATCTTTGATTTGGAATTTATTTTTGAGAAAAATAAATTAATGTTGAGGAATATGGAGTAAATGCTTAAGTAGGAATTATAAAGTTGTTTTGGGATTAAAAACTCTAAAAATGTTATATTCATGATATTTTATAAAAGATGATATGCTGATAATTAAGTTGTGTTCATTTTTATGAAAATAAAAATGTGAAATGTGGACTTTCGAACTCATAATCTTGAAAATTTTACTATTGGGCATATTTCATAATTTTTGATGTAAATATCATGTTGGTTAAGTAATTTTAGAAAAAGTTGTGAACTTGTTATTGGTAGAGAATTTGGTAAAAATATTACATTTTTAAATAGCTTGGCATGAAAAATGGTTAAGTTGAAATATAGTTATGTTTGAGGGATGAGGCATGTGAAGTTAGGTTTGGTATTATTAATTTGAAATTTTTTGAATATAATAAACTTACTAATTTAGTAGATTAAATTAGTTTTGGTTAAAAGGTTATATCCATTATGGTTAAAAGTGTGTTATTAAGATTATACCATAACTTTTGACATAGTAGGATAGAAATGGTAATATTTAATAAGAAGGGAGTTCCTTTGGGTTATATATATGATTTTGCAAGATCTATATGATTTTTGAAATCATCCTATGATTTGTTTTGAAAATTGATTGTTGATTCAAGAACATGAGAATTTTTTTTTTTTAAGTGGGTTTACTTTCTTGTTCCTTTTAAAATAGAAATTGAGAGTTTTGAACTATGAGGATTGAAGAAAGATGTTTTTGGTGACTTTTTTTTCAATAAATGAAGATGAGTGGTTTTGGTGAGAAAATCTAGAAATTGGGGATTTTTTTTTTAAGAAAGAAGTTGACAATCTTTGAAGATGTTGTTATATTTATTTTGTGTGCCAAAATAAATGATGTTTGAAAAAATGTTCATTTGTTTACATATAAATGATGGTTTTCATGGAATATGAGAATTGTTGAAGTTTTGGAAATTGTCGTTCAAAATGTTCATATGGTCTTGAAGTGACTAAATGGTTAAGATTACTCTAAGTGTGGGAATTTTGTTGTCCCATGGATGAATTGGAATAAAAGTATTTATATTCATCTTGAGAAATTATATTGAAATGAGAAATGAGAATTTTGATCACAATGGGAATATTATTTGGAAGTATTGAAAGTGGAAGAAATATTGTATTGTATTATTAATCATTGCATTGGCATATCAATTCATTTGATAATGATGAGCTTTGAAATTTGATTTGAAAACTTTGCATTGAGAAAAAAATGTTGGGAAACAAGTTTTCATGAAATGATTTTGGAGTAAATACGGTGGTAAGTCTTGAACGGTGGTGTAGATGATAGGTGTCGAGCCTTCCAGTTAATACTGGTAAAAATGACAAATTGGTAGTACTTATATAGTTTATTTGCAGACACCAGCCTAGGGATTGAAAGGTGGTGTAGATGATAGGTGTTGAGCCTTCCAGCTAATACTGGTAAAAAAGACAAATTGGTAGTACTTATATAGTCTACTTGCAGACACCAGCCTAGGGATTGAAAGGTGGTGTAGATGATAGGTGTCGAGCCTTCCAGTTAATACTAGTAAAAATGACAAATTGGTAGTACTTGTATAGTCTACTTGCAGACACTAGCCTAGGTATTACCTGAGTGGTATTTGCCAACTTGGAATTTTATTGAAATTGTTGGATTAATGTGTTTTCAAATTGGCATTGTGCATAAGATTTTCAAAAGATGAGGAAAATATTTTGAGCATAACATGGCATATGCATTCATCTCATAAGACTGTATAAAATGGATTTGATGAATTGTTTAATTATTTGATTCAATTGATAATGAGATAATTGAATGAAATGAAATAGGATGTCCTGTTGATTAAAACTTGTTTATTTATTTAAGTTAACTTGTTGGGTTAATTAAATAAATTGGATTTAAGAGATTATGTAATAAAATCATATGATTTTGACATGATATGATTTCACGTATATGTATAAGTATTTTGGTACCCGCATATCTTTTAATGTTTTAAGATGAGATTGTTCAGTGAGCTTTGCTCACCCCCTGCCTGTACATGTGTACAGGGAATGCTTTTCAGATTTGAAGATCAAACAATGGGTTTTATCATTTCATAAGTATAATGTAATGATGGATTATGCTACTTTATTTATTGTTTGGCTGAGTGCTATTTTTTTTTATAAAGAGTAGTGTCATCTCTTTTATTGTAAGCCTCAGGGCATTCCTTTTATTCATATGTAAATATCTTTATTGTATTACGAGAGGGAATATGTGTATTTAATTATTCATCATTTTATCCAAGGATGAAATGTTATTTGTAAATGGATTTAATTAATGAATATTGATAATGTTATCCGAGTAATAAAATACGGGGCTTTACAAGTACCTTCACTGCAACAACTTTTTCACTGTGATCAAGAATTCCTTTGTAGACTGAACCAAAACTACCCATGCCTATCATGTTGGCTGGAGAGAACCCATCAGTTGCCTTGAGTAGACTTTGGTAGGACAATTTCACATATGACTTCCCTAAAAATGTCAAAGATGGTACTTTTGTTGTCTTTCTAAAGCAACAAAGATACAGCAAACACAACACTATTACTAGTCCCAGAAGCCCAAACGATATGGGGATTACTATTTTCAAGATGAGTGTAAATCTTTTCCTTTTTAATCCCATGGTATTGCAACTGTGCAAATGTAGTTTAGTTATACCATCACAAAGTTGTTGTTTCCCCTAATAGAAACAACCGTTGCATTTTTTAATATGCCTATTTCTGGTACCACACCCTCAAAATCATTGAATGATAGATCTAATTTTTGTAAGAAGACAAAGCCCCCTAAATAGTTTGGGATTTTTCCTAAGAAATTGTTGTGAGGAAGATCTAATGCCTCAATACCTCTCAAATAACTTAAAGATGAATGAAGAGTTCTCCAAAAATTATTGCTCTGTATATATAGAAATCTCAATTTTACACAACTACCAAGAGTGCTTGGCATTTTTCCAGACAACATATTCCTAGAAACATCCAATTGTTCAACATTTATTAAATTGCCAATTTCTAGTTGTATGGACCCAACCAAATGGTTGCCATGTAGGTACAAATTCAATAATGATGAGAGAGTTAGAACTTGTTTGGGTATGGTACCACTAAGATTGTTTCCACCAAGAAACAGATCTACAAGGGGGCATTTTCCCAGACTTGGAGGAATGTTGTCGTGCAAATTATTTGCTTCTAAATAAAGATACTCTAGTGAAGTCAAATTTTTCAAAGACAATGGAATTTTCCCATAGAATTTATTACCTGAGAGATCCAAAAATTGTAGCTTTCGTAGCTTCCCAATATCAGCAAGAATGTTACTGATGAAATGATTGTCTGACATGCCCAAAGCCAGCAAATTGACCAAATTCGCCATCTCGGTTGGGATGCTCCCACCTATTTTATTGTTAGCCAAATAAAGCATACCAAGATTAGCGGACAAATTGCCAATGGATTCTGGCAACACCCCTCCAAAGTGCTTGAAGTGCAGCCACAAAGTGTTCAAATTGGTGGCATTGGGCAATGAGCTAAGAAAATTCGAGTCTCCAGCTTCCCCTGTTCCAAGATGATTGTATGCAAAGTTTAACCACCAAAGATTGTGCATCATTCCCAAAGGAGGAACTCTTTCAATAAATTTATTTCCTGCCAACTCAAGGAGATACAGGTTGGTTGCATTCGATATTGAAATAGGAATGGATCCAGTAAACAAGTTAATTCCAACTGAAAACTGTTGAGGAGTTGGAAAAGAAATTCCAAGATCTAAGGGAAGTCTCCCTTGAACTTGGTTCATATCTATATCAAAAGTTGTGATGGAAGATAGATTAAAGATTGAGGAAGGAATAGTACCAACCAACTTGTTATCCCCCAATGCAAGATTGTTTAAGTTTGTCGATCGGCCCAGGATTTCAAGTATACTCCCATTGATATTATTGGAACCTGCATAGAATACAATAAGGGATGACAGATTCCCAAAAGTATAAGGAAGGCCACTAGTTAGATCGTTTCTTCCAATGTACAACTCCTCAAGTTTAGACAGAGAGCCAAGCTCCACCGGAATTTTCCCAGCCAGACTATTGCCAGTAAGCTCAAGGGCAACAAGGTTAGAGCAAGCAGATATATTGACCAGAATTTCACCACCAATAGAATTATTGAGTAGTGTCCATATTTGCAGTCTCCATAGATGGCCAAGTTCAGGGGGGATTTGATGAGTGAAGCTATTGTTACGTAACCACAGTTCCCTAAGAAAGCTCAGATTTCCAATGTGAGGCGAAATTGAGCCTGTCAATTTTCAATGATTCAGTATCAACGTAGTCACCCTCTGGTGTCGTCAGCCACATGTTATGCCAGCCCATTGACACAAGTGGATGGTTTCATTCCACAAGTTTAGAGCCCCGAAGGGATCACTTATAGCGATCCCGGGTTTACCCTTGTTGTACAGTGATCCGGACTTGTGTCCGTGGATGTTGGTAGTTGGTTATTATCGTGTTTACATTCGCGATCCCGGGTTTACCCTTGTTGTACAGTGATCCGGACATGTGTCCGTGGATGTTGGTAGTTGTTTATTATCTTGTTTGCATCCTTTTTACTTCTTATTGAGTTATAGGATGTGTTGGGCAGGTTTGTTACAGGTTGGTTGTGTTTGGGAGCCTAGTGTTGCTGCCCAGATTTTTGGACCTTCGCTCGAGCGAGGAGTTGGTCGCTCGAGCGAGAGTGAGGTTCGTGTCTGGTGGGTCGATCCAGGGTGGCTTCGCTCGAGCGACGGTTGCACCTGGTTCTGGACCTGAGAGTTGCCTTTCTTGGCTCGAGCGAGCTTCCTTCGCTCGAGCGGTCTGGGTTTTTCTTCGCTCAATCAAGAACTTCTTGGCTCGAGCGAGAGTTTCTGTGTCTGGTCGCTCGAGCGACGAAGGCTTCGCTCGAGCGAGCGTGTTTTATATCAGCGGACAGTAGCGATTTTAAACATCACTTTTCCACTTTCTTTTTGATCCAAAACCTAAATCCGAGACCCTCTCTCTCCACACTTATATTCTCTCTAAGATTTGATCTCCCTAGAGTGTGAATCTATCCTAGAGCTTTTGTTAAAAAGATAGAGGGCATTGAGAGCCTTGTTTTAATCTGAAAAAGGTTGGATTTGGAGCAAGTTGATCTTCGAGTCTTCATCTCCTTTGTGGCTTAAACTTCAAGGTAGGGATATCCTACTCCTCTCTATGGGTTTTGTCTTTAAATTTTGGTATTTTGAGATGTTGGGTAATATTAATATCAGGTAATTCAAAAGATCTACATACAAGAGGATACTTTCTCCAATTTGGTACTTACATAATGCATTAGATGGGAATATAAAAATAATTTACAACGTAGGAGATAAAACACGGCCCTAGTAATTAATAATTGAGCAACCCAACCAGTATTTGTTAAGTGTCTCCTCACCTGCTCAGGGGAAATGCCAACAATTTCCAAAACATTTTCTTGAATCTCACGCTTATAAATTCTCAAGCTTTCTCCACCAATCTGATAGCACCACAACAATTAAGTATTGCACCGTTGAATTTCACATGTTAAGTATTGGCAAAAGATCAATATTGCAACTAACAGAGAATAGAGTACATATTTATACCCCTCAAAAAAACACTCATTAGTTTTACAGTGAGCAAGAAATTGGGTACCGATGATATGTATACAAATTGGGTACCGATGCTATTAAATAAAATATCCATTATATAATCATTGAAGTGGATTCCACACCAACTGATTGTGTGAATGCTATTTGTTAATTGCTCCTCGTGCAACAAACCAAGTGACAGAACATTCCTGAAAAATGTAAAGTCTTAAAAAAACAATTTTACCCTTCTCATTATATGAACAAAGGTATTATATTAAAATAGTCATTATATATACATAGAGATAGAAAACTAATTACCTCACATTAATAGTTTTCAATGCATGCATTTTATGGGATTTTGGTTTTCATGTTTTAATTATGTTAATTTATTAGTTCTTGAAATATGAAATCTATGCTTCAATTAAAATATTTGTTGACCAAGTAGCACTTTTTACTCTGTTAACTTTTAGAATTGGATTTGTAACTGACAAAGTGATGAAATAAGAATACACGAAAAGAAGAGGAAAAGACTACCTCTAAGAAGCCAGCTTGATCAAGGATTGCCCGCACATTTTCTGACATAAAATCAACTCCTAGAACTGTGATATATTGGCAACCATTTACTTTTGATGTATTACATGTAACTTCAAGCCAAGGGCTTAATGTGTAAACGAGTTAGTACTCTTTTGTTGTAACCAAGTGTTAACTTGGAAAGCTGTAAGCCCGTAGGGCATTTTGTTTTGATGTTAACATGTAATACTTATGTAATGGAACTCTAATGAATAAAAGAATGTGGTTAGTTTATATGTAAATGCATGTCTTATCTGATGGGTTTAATGTTGTTATTTTGAGGGCGTTACATCACTGGTTATTTCAGCCTTGAATACGAGCAAGGCTAGCCGATCCGTCTCATTCCCACCTACATGAACATGATGACAATGAGTACTAAAGCCTGAACCACCCAAACACAAACACCCCATGAGAACAAAAAGAACAACAACAGCATGCATGAACTGAAACAGAGTCCATGACATTGACGACACTAATATTAAACCCATATGAGGATTGGACGCTCTCATTGAATTTGAGAGAGCATCCATCCCTATATATTTTAAAATTTTAACTTACATAATACTTAGGCTATTTTTTATAATCTCATCACCAATAATTTGTTATCATTAATAATTCGATAATTGCATGAATAAAAAAAATAGTTTTATCATATTACTTTGTTTATTTCATTGTTTACCTACTATTGACATCACTTTTGATTGCTTTAACCATACAAAAAGGAAGATTAAAAATGTGAGGCTAATTATAGTTAATTTAATTATGTTAAAAGTGTGACATTGTATTTTTTCTAAACCTCAAGAGTAGTGAATATAATGGGTATGGTTCCCCTCCATACTCTTATTCTCTATACTTCATAATACTTTATTTTTTAGGCTCCATTCTAGGCTCATAATGAAGACTGTCTGTGCAAAAAATCAGTTTCATCGATGAATACATAAACAAATCACTTTTTTTTTTCTTTTTTCTTTTTTATAGAATGAAAGGTTTAAATTAAATTTAAATTCACAATTACTGTCCATTTTAAGAGATAATGGTGTTAATGTGTTTGGTTTCTTTCATGTTGGGGATTTAATTTGAGATAGTATTTTGGACTTAGTGGGCCCACTATGAGCCAAATCTCTATGATCCAATCTCATACAAAATTTTTATTACAAAAAAATATATAACTTCGTTATTCATAATTTTTATCACAAAAATTATTTTTTTCATCACAATAATTTTGTAACTCCCACAATAAAAATCATAACTTTTCTTGCGATATATACTTTTTAAGAGTGCACATTGTAATATTTCCTTTCTCAAATATAAAAAGATAAATAAATTTATATACAGAAAATTTATTTGATAAATGGTTTTGTTGAAATTATTTTTTGATAAAGTTTTAATTTGTTTTCTGTATTTTCAAAAACTACCTTCTCGGGGTATTATAAAAAATTTCATTGTTAGAAGTTCTAACTTAGAACAAAACATTGAAAATGAAAAAGATATTGGGGGTGTTTGGTCCAGTTGTTAAAACAGTTTATAAATTATAATTTAACAGATTATAGATTATAATTTTAATCAAAAGTTGTTTATTTGTTTGGTGCAGCGTTTGGTAAAGAAATTGTAAAATAGTTTTTTGAATTAACTTCTATTTTTTGTTATTCATTACTAGTCTACATTTCCCATAAATAATAATAATAATAATAATAATAATAATAATAATAATAATAATAATAATAATAATAATAATAATCCATAGTTTATGCGTCAATAGGGCCATCAATGCCATTAACCAAGGCCATCAACTCTAGCCATTAGGGCTAGAGTTATAGAGGTTGAAAACATATGGACACTAATATGGCCATCAACTCCATCATCAAAAGATGAGAGTTACAAAAATTTACATTTCTCATGTGCTTAATATATACAAATAAATAAATAAATATATATATATATATATAATGATGTTTGAATAAATCAACTAGATGGGTCACAAAATGAATACTAATGTTGGGTCACAACCCGATGATCCAAGCCTAGTTCTCAAACACAGCACAAGCTATGCCCAACACAACATAGCTTAACCCAAGCTCAAGATTAAGTCGAAGTCCAAGACCAAGACCAAGATCAAACCCGGTATATGCACAAGCACAAGCACAAGCCTAAGCCCAATCCAAACCAAGATAAATCAAAATCTAAGCCCAATTTTATTGATGCCCACTTTATGAGACGATTCTCATTTACAACTCAATAGTTTTGACTCATTATTTTTGTATTGCAATGTTCTCACTTAAGAGAATACAAAACCACTCAGACCCACCTCAGCCAGCGGCTGAGTCCCACTTTAATTTTGAATTAAAGTTGCCGAAAAACCATTCAGTATGTTTAGTTTCAGTTTTCTGAATTCAATTTTCTAGAAATTGAGTTTTTTGTTTTTCGTATTTTTTTTTTGTTTGTAATAAATATTTTTAAAATTTTAAGCAATTTTTTTTTTTATTTTTTTAGATGCATCTTACTTAGATGTATCTAAATAGTAAAATATTTATGAAAAAATATTTTAAAAAATTAATAAATACACAAAAATATGAAAAATGCACTAAATTTTCATTTTTTTCTGTATTTTTGATATTTAGTGAATTTTTTAAAGATTCTTTTTTTCACAAATATTATACTTCTTAAGTGTGTTTATGTTAGTGTGTCTAAAAATTTAAAAAAAAAATTTGCTTAAAATATTTAAAAAAATTCAGTGAAAACAAAAAAATATGAAAAATAAAAAGTAAAATTTTCTGAAAAGTAAATTCTGAAAACTGAAACCAAACAAATTGAATATTTTCCAACAATAAATCACTTCTTCTTCTTTTTCTTCTTCTTCTTCTTCTTTTTATTTTTATTTTTTTTCTCAATCCCATCTCTCACAACATTTATTCAAGAACCCAACAATGAAGTCAATCAGTCCTGCAGAAAAAAAAAGTCATGATCATGATCAAGATCATGCACTTGCCATCAATCTATAGTTTAATTCATTATAGAACTCACACTACCGATTCAATCTCCACCCCACAATCTAAATCAATTTTCTTTTACTATTCAAATTCCTATCTAAATCCATAATCCAAACATAACCTTAAACTTTTTTATTAAATTTAAAATCAAATGAAATTTCATTTTCCTCCCCAAACTATCATTTAAAAATTAATTTAATCCAGGTTTTTTAATAATAATTTTATACTTAAACTATTCAATTTTGTATTAATTTCACTCTCACTGTTAGTTACTGTGTATAATCAAATGGAAGTTGCTAATATGACACCAAAATTTAATTTGAAACTTCACATTACCCTTTGAACTATCCAAAAAAAATATCAATTAGACCCCTGAGTATATTTAAAATTTTAATTTAAATTTACTCGCCAACTATCTTCTTCTTCTTTTTTGTTGTAAGGTAAATTTAAATTTAATCTCTACTTGCACATTCATCTTAGTTCCACCTCTACTTGCAGTCTAATTTTTTTAAAATACATGTGATGTTGTTATGTGGCTATAAATGTCCGATTAATTTTTTTTACGAATAATTTACTTGAAAAATCCTACAATTTAAATGATTTGAATCATTAAAATAATCTCAAGAAAAGCCCACACAAAACCGCACAACAAACTACTGTGCCTCGTGAGTACAACTACCACTTCTCTTCCCTAACGTTTCAACAACCACCTCTCATATCCAATAAAAGACCCTAAATCGTTATAACTAACGCCCCCAAATCCACTATAGCCCATTCATGGTCATCCCACCCAACCCACTTAATTTGGGATTTTTCTAGAAGTTTACACAATTTGTATACAAACATGAAAAATTTATAGAATTTGTATTTAAAATGACAGTATTGTAGTGTGACTTATCATTTTTGTGACTTATCATTTTAAATTAAAAATCTCTATTAAAATAACATTTAGTTATACAAAAAATTGTCACTGCTTGTAACGCCCTCGAAATAATAACATTAAACCCATCAAATAAAACATTCATTGACATACGAAATATCCACATTCGTCTATTCATCAAGGTTTCGTTACAAAAGTATTACATGTTAACAACAAAAGCAAAATGCCCTACGGGCTTACAGCTTTCCAAGTTAACACTTGGTTACAACAAAAGAGTACTAACTCATCTACACATTAAGCCCTCGGCTTGAATATACATGTAATACATCAAAAAGGAACTTAAACAACAAAATCTGCCCGCCTCTAGCCTCCCAAGCTATGACCTTGGAGGTGGCATGCTACCTGCACCTGAAAATGATATTCCCATATAGGGTGAGCCACAGCCCAGTAGAAATACACTAAACCAACCATGAACAATGACTAAAAGATTAGCAATTGATAGATGGCCAACACTGATACATCCACATAAATCACATTTTATGTCATATGACTTATGAGTCCAAGTTACTTTTCATTTTCCCTTTTTCAACAGATAAGCATATTAGCTCTATCATCATCTCAACAGATATGTATAAAACTGTATCCCACATTCACAGATAAGCATATAAGCTATATCCACATTCTCAACAGATATATATAACAACTATATCCCACGTTCACAGATAAGCATATATGTTGTATCTACACTTCACAAAGATAAGCATATGAGCTCTATCTTCACTTCTCTAGACAAGCATATGAGCTGTATCTACGGAGTTCATCCCCTATCTTCTCCCAATACTATCCGGTTTAGAGGTACATCCCCCATCTTCCCCTAAACCGCGAAGTACATCCCTCATCTCCTCCTTTACACATAACGTATACAAACACATAGGTTCTATATACAATCATTCAATACATACAGTTAATGTATTCTATCAACCGTCAAATTCCATGACACATTCCATTGATTAGTTTTCATTTGCCTAATCATCATGCATTGTCTACAACAATCACGACTATCCTCCACCGATAGCCCAAAGCAGTTATTTCTAAACAGAAAATAAATGCACAAATGGATATTCAATCAACATTTCAATTCGGTGAGTGATAAATAATTCTACTACACCCTTTTTCCCCATGCATTCCCAATCTCAACAATTCCATTTCATTTCCTCATTTCTCACAATTAATTATCTCAATTAATCAAACAATGTAATTAGGTCATTGTCCATAATTAACATTATAACCCTTAAGGTCCCATTTTCATCAATGATTCAGCATTTATTCCCTTTCTCTATGCCAAACATGCGTCTAGGTTTATTATAAATAAAACCCTAACTTTTGTAAAATTACACAAAAGCCCCAAACTTTCACAAAATTACCAAACCAACCCCAACATCTCAAAATACTAAAATTTAAAGACAAAATCCATAGAGAGGAGTAGGATATCCCTACCTCAAATCCGGAGCTCCAAGGGAGAAGATGACAAAACCCAACGTGCTCCAAATCCTGAAATTTTCAGATTAAAATGTAGCCCTCGACGATCAACAACCTT